CCAGGTTTCAATTCTGTCAACAAAAATCCATCCATTTCTTTTATATCTTAAATATATCTGCTCTGTGAGAAAGGTGAAAATCTAAATTGAGTTACAGTTTGCATAAACTATAAATGTTATGTGCCTTTTACACACACTAACACACATAGATTCATATTTAACATTGTTGATCGTGACTGCATAGTATTGAAGACTTTAGATTTATCTCTGCTGTCAGCTTAATTTCATGGCATCCTGAATGAATTGTTTGAGAAACTGTTTTCCTACAACAAAACAAAACAACAACAAAGCCTCCCAAATCTAAGGTTCTCTTTATTTGTTTGTTTATACATCTTTATGTATAAAAATTGGAACAGGATTCTTTTAGCTAATTCAATGTAGGATAGTGCCATCTGGTGGTCCGTCTTTAAAATAGAAATAGAAACCACCAACCTACCCAAACTCAAAATGCAACAGTGCATAATTTTGTAAAGGTAGGTCTACATTCTTCATTTATCATAGCTAACCGGGCAAATGTTTTTGATAATCACTGCAATTGAAAAAATTGCAACCTCATCTAGAAATGATACCTTGCTTAGGCATGTGATATTAATTTGGGATGATAATCTTGCCCTTCCACAAAATATTCCTCTCATTAATACAGGCAGTCCTCAACATTGGTAATCAGAATTTCTGTTGCTAAGTAAGGTGGTTGTTAAGTGAGGTACACCCAATTTTATGCCCCATTTTTTGCCATGATTGTTGAACAAATCACTGCAGTTAAGTGAATTATGAAGTCATTAAGTGAATCCAGCTTCCCTTATTGACTTGCTTGTTAGATGAGGTCAAGGTTTCAAATGGTGATCACATGATTAGAGAGATCCAGGTGTATTCTGGCTTTTTAAATATGTTATAAATGAAATCCTTGGACAAATGTTAGGCTTTCCTATTTTCTGCTAACATAAAAATGATTAATTACCTCATTAGAATTTTACTTAATTTAACCCATGGGAAGCAGCTGATATAATCATAGTTATAATATTTGACTGCACTTTGCCAACAGGTAGTCCTTGACTTAAAAACAGCTCATTTAGTGACTGTTTGAAGTGACAATGGCACTGAAATAGTGACTTATGACCAGGGTGGCCTTCAAAAATTTTAGCAACTGGTTCTCTGCCAGGTTGCTGGGTGGGCGTGGCCTAGTCAGCTTCCTGCACCACGGCCGGGAGGGGGGCGTTTTTGCCTTCCCCAGACTCGAGAGGCTTTTCTTGAGCCTCCAGGAGGGCAAAAATGGCCACCCACAGCTCCGGAGCCTCTCTGAAAGCTGGAAATGGGCCTGTTTCTGGCCTTCCCGAACTTCCGGGAGGCCCATTTTTCATTCTCCCCGAGCTTCTACATGCGCCCTGCATTTACCTGCATCCAAAATGGGCTGCCTGGGGACTCCAGGGAGGGAAGGAGAGGGGTGTGTAGGGCCAGCCAGGAGTGGGATTTGGGGGTTCTCTGAACTGTGTAGAATCTTAGCTAGAGACTTTCCCGAACCCCTGCGAACCCCCAACAGACCACTCCTACTTATGACTGTTTTCACACTTATGACCGCCGCAGTATCCCCATGGTCACATGATCAAGATTCAGATGGTTAGCAACCGATTCATATTTATGATGGTTGCAGTGTTTTGGGGTCATGTGATCAGCTTTTGCAACTTTCTGACAAGCTAAGTCAATGAGGAATCCAGATTCACTTAACAACTATACTACTCATTTAACAAATGCAATGATTCACTTAACAACCGTGCCAAGAAAAGACATAAAATGGGACAATCTCATTTAACAAATGTTTCAGTTAGCTCAATTGTACAATACCGTTAAACCTTTATTCAGATGTAGTACTAATTTAGTTACTGCCGTTCCACTTTTTGATATAAACTTGTGTTAGTTCCCACCAATGACAGGTGGATTGCCTCAGACCTTCCTTCTAAATGGACAACATACTCAAAGGAAAAGAAAAAAAAATAAGATCAGTTCGCCAACATCAGAACAAAATGTTTAGTTGTGTACTAACATTCATATATATTTGCTGTGAGGCTTTCCTTATTTGGCTAAGTTGTCTGCTTGGATAAATATGGTGCAAGTGACTCAAGCCGATATAAGAAATGCAACCTAAGGGTGATTGGTAATTCAAGACATGTGTGTGTACACCTAAACCACAGCCAGGATCAGTTTTCTGTCAAATTATTTTTCTTGGCAACAATATTTATTTAGAGAATGTACCTATTTATACAAGACTGCCCATCTTACATACAGAACCACAGTACAGTGTCTGAGGCACCATAAGAGAGTCACAAGACACTTACACCTCCATTATAGTGGGCTCAATTACTGCCAGGGTTCAGCATCTAGGGCAATGATGGCTAACCTTTTTGTCGTCACATGCTGAATGTGTGCGCCATAATACAATGCACATGATACCCCATACTCCCCCACCCCCCTGCACATACACATGGGACTCCTCTGCCCCCTGCGCATGCACGTCTCCCACATGTACCCCGCCCTGCTCCTTACGCATGCACAGCAGATACCCGAAAATCAGCTGGCTGGCGGGAGGTGCATGCGCATGAGCAGTAGAACTGAGCTGGGGTGACGGCCCATGTGCCTGCAGAGATGGCTCTGCGTGCCACTTCCGGAAAACATTACGGATCTAGGGAAGAACCAGAAGTTTTCATAGCCTTCCAGAAGTCCAGGTTTGAGACTCTCCAGAGTTTGAAGAGACTGTTCCATAAGGCAAATGCCATAACAGAGAAGGCATGTTGCAGACACCCAGATTTCCATTGTCTTCTGCAATGTGTGTGCAAGCCAGTTAAATTTAGAAAGTCTTTCCAAAAGTGATTAACTAGCCACACTCATGCCTGTAAAACAGATACTGCAATATTAATACAATAAGTATTTCTAGGATGGTAGAGGTAGTCCTTGACTTACAATAGGGGTAGTCAACCTTTTTATACTTACCGCCCATTTTTGTATCTCTGTTAGTAGTAAAATTTTATCTAACTGCCCACCAGCTCCACAGTAACGGTGATTTATAAAGTAGGGGATAAAACCCCTACCGCCCACCATGAAAGCTGGAACACCCACTAGTGGGCCGTAGGGACCAGGTTGACGACCACTGACTTAGAAGGTTCATTTAGTGACCATTTGAAGCTATAATGGCATGGAAAAGTAACTTATGACCTTTTTTCACACTTGCAACTGTTGTGCTATTCCCATTGGCAACTGACTTGTATTTATGACGGTTGCAGTGTCCCAGGGTTATGTAATGACCATTTGTGACCTTCGGACCAGCAAAGTTAATGGGGAAGCCAGATTCTCTTAACAACTCTGTTACTTGTGATTCACTTAGCAGCTGCAGCAAGTAAGGTTGTAAAATGGGGCAAAATTGTCTTGCTTAGCAACAAATTTTTTTCCTCAATTGTGGTCATAAATTGAGGACTACCTGTAATTGAATAGAATCCATAAACAGCACCAGAAATATATGTTGTTAAGAAATACGTGTGCATATTATTCAAAATAATTAGGAGTTATGTAATAGCTGTATAGGGACTTGAAATTTTGCATATACATACTATGCAATTAAATTTAAATCCAACTGGGAAATGAACTAACCCTTTTCCAAAGATCGTTTTGCCAAACCAAGATTACAATATACACATTTTAATGTTTTGAATTCCTCTGAACAATGTGAAGGTCCTGTACAGAAGAATTTCCAGGAGTTTCATTGCCCATGATCTTCTAGAATCTAGAAATGTAGCCGACCACGTAAGTTCATCAGCTAGCAAGTTTTTCACAAGCCAAATTTAGTTTCAGTTTCTAAACTTCTGAAAAATACAAATGCCTAATTTTTAAAATATTTTTTTAAGTGTAGGAGGGCACTGTCATATTTAGCAGGAATTTATTTTTTGTCTGGGATGTATTGAGCATTAATAGTAATAAACTATCTACTTTAGAGGTTTGCAGACATTGGCAGCATTTGGCTTCCAGTAGTTTACAATAGACAAAATGGTTCATACTGAGCCTATTATAGATATGGAAATCAGGCATTTGATTCAAAAATCAATTTGCAACACGTTATGTGTCCCATTTATAAATAATTAGATGGTGAGTTGAAAACCCTGGGAGGCTACAGCAATGTTTTAATCTGAAAGTTCTGGAGGACACTAGATTAGGGAAGACTGAAATAAAGCATAAAAATAAGAACTGAACCCTTTTAAATGCGCTTTAATAAAACACTTTAAAAGTTCCAAGTTAGTTTTTGAACTGAATAGAATGAATGCACCAATAAGATGATCAGCACTTTTAATCAGCTATTCAAATTAGTAGTTGAGTTATATTAAAATATGCCTTTTTATTGGTGAATACCACCTCCATTAACTTACATGTATTCTTCATGCTGTACAGTACATCAGCCTGGAAAAATGCAGAATTGTCTGAAACAGGATTTTCTCTAGGATATAGTAAGGCGAATGCCTGTTAGTTACTAAGGGTGGGCGAGTGCAAATAAAATGTACAGGGTTGGAAATAACCTATTACTACTCTGACCTAGAATGATCTTTATCTATCTATCTAGTATAGATCTCTATCTAGTAAAATTACCTGTAATTTTGGTGAAATACACCCACATCTAAACAGAGTAACTTAAGAATGATATAGTTAAGGAGCTATACATACAAGAATAAGGTTCTGTTCTGTTCCTGCACGGATTAAAAGCAATGCATCATCTCAAAAGAAAGGCAAAGGTTAATACTTCCTATAATTATTTATTTCAGTAGCTTAATCAAGGATATATTTGCTTCCTGTCCCGCCCCCTAAACACTGAAGAGCTTTTGCTCCCAGATGTGGCCTTATGGTCTCAATTATCCATACTAAATGAAATGGGAAGAGGAAAGTAATCCTAATAGCAGAAGTTTCTTGGAAGAGCAGCTAACCCTTTAAAGAATATTTTCAAATAAGAAAAACATACGCAGAGCAAAACAGTATTTATTGTGGACATATCTTAGGTATAAGTTTGTGATATTGCACATTTTTAACGTGTAAAAAAATAAAAATCACTTTCTCCTAAAGGTATCTACACATTTCACACGCTACAAGGCAGGCACACTCCAGGTCCAAAAACTGTCCATAAAAATGTTGAAGTTCTCTTATATTACATGGCAGTTAAAACTTTACTAATAACTTAGGCAAACCGTATAAACAACCTGTTATTTTCTAGAGCAGACTTACGCAATTATGGCTCCTTTCTGACCTGTGGACTTCAACTCCCAGAATGCCTGAGCCAGCGATACTGACTCAGGAATTCTGGGAGTTGAAGTTCACAAGTTGTAAAGGCCCATAAATGCCCACCCGTTCTAGAGCACAATAATCTACTAAGCTCTTATAAAGAGCAAAGGAAACAAACTACATTATACAAACATAATGGGTATATAGGACTACTTCACACAATTCTATACCACAACTTAAGTGAAAAATATTAGCATTGCTTTGACTATCATCTTCGCTCTATTTTTTTATTTCAGTCTGAAGAAGGGCTTCCGCCATCCTTTTTGGTTGCTTTAGATTGTTTTCTTCCACAGGAATCCATGCCATTTCCTTTTTCTTTCTCCTCTGAGGGAGAACTCCTGGAGTGATACCTGTTTTCTAGTGCAAACTTCAAAGAGCTGTAAAATCTAGAGAGAGACATTGATTTAAATGTTTCAGGTTGGCAGTTCCATTAATTGGCTCACATAAAGCAGAGCCTGCAGCTCAGGAATACTAATAACCAAATAAATTAATGCAATGACACAGGAGCATCACACATTTTTCTCAACTGATTTGTGAGAGACTAAAATAGGATGGCATTGATATACTGTATTTATTAAATTTCTACTCTACTGCAATCATAAGACTCTAGGCATGGCACAAAATCAACTGTAAAACACCTACAGTATAATAAATAAAGCCTCTAGAATACAGGTGACTAATGATCAAAAGCAACCAATATATGACTTTAAAATGGAGCGGTGTGCAGGAAGAAAATTCACAGGATAACATCATCTTAATTAAATCTATGCAAGAAGGTATAAATTAATATGGTGGTTATATGATGAATGCAAAGTAGAATTGTTTAATGGGATTGTTTGTCCTGTGCTGTTGTCTTAAACATTGGAGTCCAACAAAGATGAAACCTTTCTAAAGAGATTGTTACAATGGTTACTCATTAAACATATCCATCCTAACTCAGGAGAAAACAACTGAATGAAAAACTGCTGGTGACCTTCTACCGCTACACCATAGAGAGCATTTTAACTTACTGCACCTCTGTATGGTTTTCCAATTGCACAGTGGCAGATAGGAAAGCACTCCAGAAGGTTAACGTCATTGCCCAGAAGATCACTGGTTGCCCTCTCCCCTCTTTGGAAGAGCTTTATAGCTCCCGCTGCCTTAAGAAAGTTCAAAACATTCTCAAAGATCCATCTCATCCTGGAAACCCCTTTTTTGAACTATTACCATCTGGCAGACGGTACAAAATAATAAAAACAAGGCCCAATAGGCTGAAAAACAGCTTCTATCCGAGGGCAGTAGCTCTGTTGAATTCTACTGTATAGTGCAGTGTTGGTTCAATGTCAGGGTTTTTCAGTTCAATGTGTGGAGAGTGAAGGATGTGTGTTTGTGTTTATTTCATGGTCATGATCATGATGTGCACTGAAGGTGGTGTTTGATTTCGTTGTACGAGGTGCAATGACAATAAACTAAACTGAAAAAAAACACCACCCCACTGAATTCCTTCCAAATCACTACACATGGATCAGTATGCTTATATGTACACACATATTTTGTATTGAATATGTGTGTATATTCACATATTTTATATTGAATATGTGTTATGTATTGAATACTACCTTTATTATTTTATATAAATAACACAAGGTGGCAAAATAGTTGATACTCCTTCCTCCTCCTATTTTCCCTATAATAACCTTGTGAGGTGGGTTGTGCTGAGAAAGTGATTGGTCCAAGATCAGCCATTTGGCTTCATGCCTAAGGCGAGACTACAACTCACAATCTCCTGGTTTCTAGGCCAACATTGTGACCACTGCATTGCTAACAAACCTGTTAATTCTCTTCCAATTTTCTTCCATCTTCTGATTAGCAACTTGAATCACAAAGTCAACGTATTCTTCACTGACCATTAGTCTTCCTTTCTGAGTTAGTGGAACTTCTAAGCAGTGAGTACTTCGGACAGCCTGTAATGATGTAAAAGGAGAAATTTACGGTACACGTCTTAACCAGCTTTTATTAATAAATCTTACAAAAGTTGTGTACGTTCTTGAATTCTGTTATCAAAAACCTGCAACTTATTGCTAAATGAAGGATTGTGATCAACTGAGGATGGGACAGACAGAAATATTATTTTTGTGTTTACGAATTCTGTACACATTTATAGCCTTGGTTCGCTGATATAGATTTGTTTTGTTTACGGCCTGACTCTCTAGAGGTATAATGGAAAGATAGGTAAATGGAGTCAAGGCTTCATGGTGTTTAAAAATAAGACTGAATGGTTTCTTATATGTGACACAATCTGATTTTGTTGTTTAATGATTCCCCTTTTTGCCTGTCTTTCTTTCTTTCTTTCTTTCTTTCTTTCTTTCTTTCTTTCTTTCTTTCTTTCTTTCTTTCTTTCTTTCTTTCTTTCTTTCTTTCTTTCCTTTCTTTTCCTTCCTTCCTTTTCTTTCTCTTTCTTTCTTTCTCTTTTTCTTTTGTCCTTCCTTCCTTCCTTCCTTCTTTTACTTTTTAAAGGTTTTTCCTTCTGTTTTTCCCCTTGTATATTAAAGCAACAAATGTATTTTCAAGAAGTCTGAAACAATTCTCAGTATAGGTAAGTTTGTTAAAGAAAACCAAATCTTGTATGGCCTTTAATAGAAGAGATACTTGACGTGACAAAGGAAGGTGTCTACATTTCTTTTGTAATGTACAACTCAATTTTTAGTAATTACTGTTGATCCCTCTGGGAGGAGGTATTTGTAGCAGGGCTACCTGATTTTGAAATACATTTGTTCCCTATGCCATCTGTCTGGTAAACTCGCAAGATTCTTTTTTCTTGCCGATACATCCAGATTAGATTAGGTTGTTTCTCCGTGTCATACAATATATATGGTTATATGTATAATTTTGTGTTTGTTTATTTTGTCATGTTTATGTAGTGTATACTTGACGTAGGGATTCTTTGAGAGCTGTATGCAATGAAATTTCATTTTAATGCATGCTGATTAATATACATTCAAAGTGACAATACTTATTCTAAGTCTTATCAAATATTTCACACTGCTTCCATCAACCCAGCTGAAATTGTCTATTTTGGTGATTAATATATGACTGCCTTTGAAAGTGGTTGAGACTCTGGTTTGTACTCAAGATCTGACTTAAAGCTTTTAAGGAGATCTCAACACGGCTAAGATGTGATTCAACCTGCTGGATTCAATATGTAAGTGTCATCTTATACTGGGGTAAGAGTGAGTTAAGCGAACAGTCCCTGCCATTCAGGAACCAGTGGTGACCATGCATTTACTTTCCATGTAAAGATGCTGGTTCACCTTGATACAGGCTTTATGTAGTTACACCCTATCAATTTTCTCATGAGGAACTGCAAATATCCCTTTAGTCAAGGTAGAAAAAAACAACATACCATCATAATTTTCCCTTTCCGGCTAACAGTTATGCCAGAGTTTCTGAATCCAGCTTCTACAGACACGGTGTGCTGTAAAAATAAAAGCAAACAGTTGGCATAAACAAAGTGCTAAACATATACAATAGTAAACAAGGTGTATTTTCAAATACTGGTTTTTCTCCTAAATATTTATAGGAATAGAGGTTATTTGTTACGTCTGAATCCAAACAGTAGATTTTGTTTTGCCAGAGTGTTACAGATAGTCCTCATTTAGCAATCACAATTATGACTGGTAACTTGGCTGTTAAGTGAAGCAGCCACTAACTGTGCTTATGATCTTACTTCAGTTTTCCTTTGCTTTGTAGACCTGCAAAAGTCATAAATGAAAGGATTGATCCTGAAATTATTACTGCTGTGATGAGCTGTGTGCGGTAACAAGGCAGTTACCTAAGTGAGGACACCTGTATAGTAGAAGGAAGTATTTCAAAAAGTACATAATTGTAAAATGTTTATAATAATAGACCTGTAGCAATGTGAACCCATGTTATGAAGCAGAAAAATAGAAGCAATCATTAGGGCACAATTACAGCCAAATGTGAAAAATCCTGGGGTCTTAAAAGTAGTTTATATCTTAGAAGGGACAACACTGCCAGTCAGAGACAACATGTTTCTTCTTTAAAGAGCTGTGCTTGAGAATAGTACCTTACTGGAAGTATTTTCACCTCACAATTGGCCATTCTGATTTCTATTTTCCAATCAGAGCAATCCCGTTTAAAGATTGGAATACTGTCAGTCAGACTGGAATGGCTTTAATTGCTTTTGGTGAGGTTGGCATGAAATGTTTTGGGATTCAAACATTTTATTTCTAAAAATGTTCATACATCTAATCTCTCCCTTTCTCTGAATTGTTTTTATATTATCTACTCTACAGCATAGTAAAAGAAGTGAGAGGACCTAAATTTGCGGATGTGAATCGAAATAATTAAAAGGAGCTTACAATAGTTCCTTACTGATACAAGCTCATAGGTAAAATCTAGCATTCATTACATAATTTGATGATAGCCATCGCCAGCCGTATAAAACTGTACTTCTGAAATTTTCATTCTACCTCATAATCCCCAAAAAACAAGTTTTCGCTTATGAGTGTGATATCTATAGAAACAATAAAAATGCTATTTCCTCTGCCATCATTTTCACAGCCCCAGTTATTTAATACACAATGCTTCAGACATTGGAAATCTTGAACGTATAACCATTTGTTTAATAAGCAAAGTTACAAAGGCACTGAAACTTACGATTGGTCCTCATACAAGATTTGGTCATGTGATCAAAATTCAGGTGCTTAACAACTGTATTAAGATAGTTGCCTCATCCTGAGGTCATGTGATCACCACTTGTGACCTTTCCAGCTGGCTTCTTACGAGTGAAGTCAATGGGGAAACCAGATTTGCTTAATGATCATGTGATTCACTTAATAACTGCAGTGATTTAGTTACAAACCATGGCAAAAAGTTTGTAAAATTGGGTGTGGCTCACTTAACAAGAACATCGTTTAATTCTGGCCCCACTTGTGATTGCAAGTAGAGGATTACTTCATGTATGAAAACTGGGAATCAGACATTACTTATGTAACAATAACAGTGTTTTAAGCACAATGCTTTACCAGAAGTTGTGCGTCTTCTAGGTCTTGACATTGCACATGGAGAACAAATGGTTCAAATTTGAAGATGGCATCAGCTGCAGCTTTCTGCAAGGCGGTAAGCTAAGAAAGAGCAAAAGGTTAATATCAACGCTACATCTGTTAGCAATGAAATATAAGTAGCTTATTTAGCATCTAAAAACATGGCATGACAGAAACTGATTTGACGTGCTAATTAAAGTACATTTCGACATGTAATATTCAAATGCTCGATGTATGCTCTGCTTGTTTTTATTCACTTCGGTACAACATTTCGCTGGGATTTAGCTTCCCAAAATATTGTGTGCTGATGATAAAGAGTTTTAGAAATCTTGATGCTGTATGATATAGTCACAGTTCTAAGGTCTCTAACACCAGTTTTCAGAAAAGCTTCTGATTAAATCTGGCCTATCAGTTTCCATATGTCAATCAAATAATACTTTGAAAAAATAATAAACTCCATCTATCTACAAGATCTGCAATAGAGGAAAAAACAGTGCACATTTACAGTGATAATGCACATGTTTAGAGAATACTTCAAAAACATTGCTGACCCCCAAAATTGTATTACTTGCTATGCTGATCTTATCCACATGTTGGCCTTTTAAACTTTTTAAAACTGGTATTTGAAAGAAAATGAATACTACAAAGCATTGTTTCCTTATGAAAACTTTCATTCAATAAAATTTTATCTTCTTTTTATATCACAATATCCTAAAATGTTGGATGGAGGGCAGTTTGGAGATCCTCTAGTCCAGCGGTTGCCAACCAGTGGGCCGGGGACTACTGGTGGTCCATGAGAAAATTTTGGTGGTCTGCAGAGAAAATAATCCCCAAAGCAATTAATCCAGGCTGTGTGGGAACACAAGGCTGCGCCACCCACATGGCCTGCGGGAACACAAGGCTTGCATTGCTTGCATTACAAACAACACGGGGTAGTTAGCGGAGGGGGGAAAGGGCAGAGGGTGGGGAACTTGCCCCCCTCACCCCATGCGCCTCGTCGGGCCACTGGGCTGCTTCTTTCAGCTTCTTTCTTCTTCTGCTTCTGGCTGCATGCAAGGAAAATAGCAAAAGTCTTTCTTTCTCTCCCCCCCAACTCTGCCAGAAATGAGTCTTTGGGATTCTACAAGGCATCCTACTCCAAGAGGCTGTGCCCACGTGACAAGTCTCACAAAGACTCATTTCTGGTGGAGTTTGGGGAGAGAAAGAAAGACTTCTGCTGCTTTCCTTGCAGGAAGCCAAAAGTCTCTCTCTCTCTCTCTCCCCCCCTGAGAACGGAGCTGGAGATGGTATCCTGTGATCCCAAATAAAGAATAATCCATTGGTAGGAAAACAGGGTGAGGAATTTTCCTGCAGACTTTTTGGGGGATTTTCCCAGGGTTTCTGGTCTGCAGGATTTAAAATTATGAGTTTGGTGGTCCCCGAAGTCCAAAGGTTGGTGACCCCGATCTAGTCCAACTCCCTAATAAGGACTGGAACCCACTTCTATGGCATCCTTGATAAAGAGCTCTCCTACTTCTGTTTAAATACCTCCAGTGAAGAGAGATCACCACCTCTAGAGGTAGGCATTTTCTAGGTCTTGTAATGAAGACATTTTTCCCCTTAGCATTTTACCAGATTCTATTTCGCTGTAGTATAACCAATGTTTTGGAGCAATTTTGAAGAATTCTGTCTCATCTTTTGTATTTCAGCACTTCAGATTTTGAAGAAAACGATTTATTACGTTGCCCCTCTATCTTGTCTTCTTCAAGGTAAACAACCTAACACCTTCTCCATTCCTTGTACATTTTCCCTCCAGGTCCCTGATCTTCTTTGTTATTTTTCTCTGGATGTAGTCCAGTTCATCAATCTTTAAAAAAATGTTTTTATTAAATACATTAAATACACATACATAACAAGTAGTACATAAATATATATATATAGTGAATGTGAAAGGAAAAAGAATAGAGGAAAGGAAAACACAAAAAGGATTGATGAACTGGACTATTTCTTTTAACCCTGATATTATACTTCGTTGGTGAAGTGTAAGACTACATTTGAATTTTCTGCAGCTGTTAACTTATATTCAACTTGTAATCCACCAAGACATCTAATTCCTTTTCACATGTACTTCTGCCCTCACAGGTACTTCTTGCCCTTTCTTTCAGAAGAGTGCAATTTTCTATTCCCCACCCCCTCAAAAAAAAAAAAAACCTTATTAGGGCTTTAAAACAAGTCTGTCCATATCTCTTGAAATCATCACCAAAATGTTTAAATTTTGAAATAAATAAGGTGATTTGATCATCTGTTATAGTCAGCATCTTGGATACCCTCGGACTTAAGATAACAGTAGCCATTACATGTGAGTTAGAAACCTATGATGGAAAAAGCATCAGAAAGCCAGTCATGTCTATCATCTATTGAATGACTTCTATCACTCTATAAAAAAATACAATAATTCCATTTACTATGATCAATAAAGACCAGCATCAGCCACAAACATAAGACAACGATATGGAAGAGCACACTCTCTTCCTTACATATTTTGTTATAAAAAATTAATTATAGAAGCTTGGCAATTCTTGCAATATTGTTAGTATGCAGAACTACTAATTAGAAACCTGTGTAATAAACAATGCATTGACCCTTACCACATCTTTTGTACTACATAATTGATGGGTCACCATAAGCCAAGTACAGCTTTGCTTCTGTATTTCAAAGCCAGCAGTCCCCTAGTTAAGAAAAAAAAATCATAGAGTACAAATCTTTTAGGCAGAGAAACATACTCAGAACCAATTGCTGTATTCCCAGCTTTTCAACATTGAAACACTAGAATTTCCCAGCACGTTAAAGAGAAGAAAAAAAACCTAAGGAAGACAAGGAAGAATAAAATGTAGCCAATGAATCAGTTTCAAGCCACATATCTGACTATTAGATGAAAAAGAGTAAGACGACGTATTTCTGGGGATCATATCATGTTTATCTCTGACAGAACAAGTCTTGAAGGGATTGAAGCAGTGGCAATTCAAACTCTGAATAAGGAATACAGGTAGTCCTCAATCTACAGCCATAATTGAGCCAGAAATTTCTGCTCTTAAGTGAAACATTTTAAGTGAATTTTGCCCCATTTTACAACCATGTTGTCCCAGTTGTTAAGTGAATCACTACAGTTAGTGGTACAGTTCTTAAGTGAATCTGGCTTCCCTATTGACTTTCTTTGCCAGAAGGTTGCAAAAGGGAAATCATTTGACCCCAGGACACTGCAACCATCATAAATTTGAACCAGTTGCCAAGTGTCTGAATTTTGCTCACAGGACCTTTAGGGACACTACAACGATCTTAAAAAAACGGTCATAAACCATTTTTTCAATGCCATTGTAACGTTGAATGGTCACTAAATGAACTGTTGTAAGTTGAGGAGTACCCGTATCTTGCCTTTATATTTTCAAAAGGAGGAAAGATTGGGATATACATACTTCAATACGTAGAGAGGTGCAACCTGAAGCACCCCCTAGTTAGTAAATAAATGTTAAATAAATGCCCATTTCTTTTTAAGAGGGATTCTGAAGTGTAAACTCAGACTTCCATCCTTCTGAGGTGAAATGAGGACCCAGATTGTTGGGGTCAACATGCTGACTCTGCACTATGCTTAAAAAGGTCTGTAAAGTACTGTGAAGCAATATATAAGTCTAATTGGTATTGGTATTATCCAAACCTTCTCACTTAAACCTGGAAATAAGGAGAAACTTTCTGACAGTGAGAACAATGAGCCAATGGAACAGCTTGCCCTCAGGAATGATGGGAGCGCCATCACTTGAGACTTTCAAGAAAAGATTGGACTCCCATTTATCAGAAATGATGTAGGGTCTCCTGCTTGGGCAGGGGGTTGGACTAGATGACCTACAAGGTCCCTTCCAATTCTGATTATCTGTTATACTTAAGCTGGAGAAGAATTCTGGACAACTGGCCAATTTGGTTAAGGCACCAGGCTAGAAACAGATTACACAGTAGATGAATTCTAGTCCTGCCTTAGACAAAAAGCCAGCTTTTGAGGGGAGGATCTTGGGGCCAGTCCCTCTGTCAGCCCTAGAAAGGAGACAATGGCAAACAATTTCTGAAAATCTTGCCAAGAAAATTCAGGAAACCAGACCAGGCAATCCAAGTGTCAATGCTAACATAGACATGCACAAAAAGGGAATTTTCCACCTCTGGGAATATTTCAGGGGGAACCTGTCCAAAGGTGGCTTTTTAAGTGTCAATTCACCGAGCTGCTTCTTCCATTCCAACAATCTTGAGAGGAATGGAGGTCTCATAGCAGAGCAGGAATGGCAAAAATGCCTTCTTCGATGGACACATTCAGCATCCAATTTATTGCAGGTCAGGACTGCCAGACTTTGAGGGGCAGAATTCAGGGCAGCAACAACTTTGTAGGCATCGCTGTATGGGTCGCGCGGAGGTTTGCAAACCCAGATGGGGTAGCGAAGGGAGGGCTGCCCCTAAAGCAGCGCCTCCACTCCCAAAGAAATCGATTTCGTCAAGGTTACAACCCCCATGGGGAGATCCGGAGCAGCAGGAGGAAGCGATTCCACCCAAATATCTCAGCTCGGCTTCAGATCTGCGCGGCGCAGCCGAGGCCGAAAGTGGCCTTACCGCAGCCGGAGGGGCGGCCGGGGGTTGCTCCAGCACCACCACGCGCCCCGAGCACGAGCTGGTGGTGCAGAACGTCTCGCGGCTATTCAGGAGCCGGACGATCTCCTCGATAGGCTCGTCCACGCTGCCCTTCCGGCTCGCGTCTGCGCGCGACAGCCGCTGCTCTTTCCAGCGTTTGAAATCGGCCATCAGCAATAAGCAAGTAGCAGCGGCGGCGGCAGCGTCGCCGGCTGTGTTTTCGTCCCCGCCCCCAGCCGGCAACAATGGCGGCCTTCAGGGGACCCATCTTTGGGAGGCGCCATCTTAGCCGTTACGGCGTCTCGGTTGGGGCAAATTTATTTCCCCAGGCCCCGAGCCCTCGGAAGTAAACGCCCAATGACCCTTTCTGAGCAGATAGAGAGTTTCGGGCTTTACCCTCCCTCTGTATTTTCTTAGAAGCGGAGACCCCGCGGAGTCTTCTCGGCTTGCTTAAGGAGGACACAAGGCGACGGTAAGTCGAGAGGTACAAAATTATAGCCTCGGTTTTGCGGCATGGTTCGACTGTGATTGCAAGCCTGATGTTCCCTAGATTTGTATCCCCCCACTTGTCTGACTGAGCACCTACTGCTTCCTCTTCCTGTTTCTCCCCAGGCCAATCTTTGAAATGGGTCGGACTGAGAGATGTCTCTATGGCTGAGGGTGAAATAGAATCCGGGTGTTCTTGATGCCATTTTAACGCCCTTAAATCTAGTGTTTTTCATCCTTGCAGCTTTAAGATGCTTGGACGTCAACTCCCAGAATTCTACAGCCAGCGTTGGCTGTAGAATTCTGCGAGTTGAAGTCCAAGCATTTTAAAAGTTGCTAAGGGTGGGAAAACACTAGTTTTAACCAATACATCAATCACTTCGACTTCTTCACCAGGCTTCCCTGGGCTGGAGGGAGAAGTCAGCAAAACATTGGAAAAAAGGCAACATCAACCTTTTTTTTTTTTTTTACTGTACCCCAGAAAAGTATCTGGAAATATCCATGAAGTCACCAGAAGCTGAAATCAAGAGTGGCCTCACTCTTCTCATCGTGAGGATCTATAATAGGATTCTGTTAGACAAGAGAAGGCTGGACTAGTGTAGCTGGGAAACCAGGTTTGTTTTTTGGGTTGTTTAAATTGTATCAGTTGAGCTGACTGGAGTTGCAGTCCTGCAAAAACATCAGGAGACCGCCTGTCCTTGGCCAAAGGGCAGTCATTTATATTGAGTAATAGCAATGAGTCTGAGAGGTTTTGTGGCAGACATTCCAGAGCAATAAACTGCAGGGAGAAATGTTCACATCAGAGCAAAGTTATTTTGTTCTTGGATTATAACAGGATTGAAAATATAATATTCCCTTTTTTAAAATTGGATTTTTAGACCACCCAATTCCAGAAACACTATAGGCAGCTCAGTCTTTTAACAAAAAGCACCCTAATTTAAAAGAGGTATGACTGCCTGAATAAAACTCCATAAATTGCAGTTTTTAGTAAGAAGAAATCTTCAATGAGCGATACCATAGCCAAAAAAAAAGGACTGTAGAAAAGCAGGTGCCCATCAAATGGCAGCAGAGAGATGTTAAAACTTAAATCTTTGCTGCCATCATGTGGGCATCCAGATTTCTAGTAAGTATGGATTTGGTAGCCCTAGAAGAGAGAATAGGGATACAATTCCTGAAATCTTATTTTGGAATAGGTCTCATTACAACAATTTTTGGACAAATGCTCATGCAGTACAATAGACAAATAATTTAGAAACAGTTTATTAGCATTGAAAGCTTGCACTAACCAATTCTGGTGTGACCTCTTCCAAAACAGAAGGGATCATGTTTGCACATTCCTGTACAATCTTTAAAGGCATTTTATTTTTTGCTGATTTGACCCAAGTCTGTAGTCCTGCTAACTTCATGGCAGTTCATATAGTTCAGAGATAAAAAGAAGGACAACACAGAAATTCAGAGATTGATGACCAATATGTTACATGCTTAGGGTTTTGAGTAATTGGTTTTTGCAAATCATTTTCCATCTGTTTCCTTTTCATGCCAGAAGCACGAAGATTCTATGAATTATCAACAGTATTGTATTATTTATGTTATTCATAAAACTTTATTTTGAAATAAACATTTTTATTCTTGTGCATTTATTTTACAAAGAAATTAGTATCTATTAAAATTTGTTGATTGTGTCAGGAATGACAAAAAGTAATTTGCTTTGATTAAATGTATTGAATAATGGACAAGATTCTTTTTTTTTTCTAAGAGTGTAATAAGCAACTCCTATTGATCATTCTTGTTTTATTAACTAATGATGCTAGGAATGGTTAGTGGAAAAAGAAGAAGGGCAAGCAAAGAACACACTGGCTTGATAACATCAAAACTGATACAAAGATGAACATCCAACAACTGAAAGAAGCTGTGCTTGAAGGGTGGCATGGAGAGCACTGGCTATCAAGTTGGCAAGAGTTGGATACGACTAAATGGTTAAAACAACAATTGATCATGGGAAGAGAAATTTCAAATTACAAGAAATTACAAATACTGCTGATCTACTGGCTCTGCCCACTGATAATTGGATTCAGCTACTCTCAGAAATATGTAAAGATATGATTAGCGGCAATGTATTATTGGTCTGTCTATAACTTGTCATATAGTTTGGTTTTACAAGCAAAAGGATAGGTTTTGTTACTGCAAAAGGATGAGTTTTTGCAGTATGCTTTTTAAATCACACAACTCTTTTCCCTTGGAATATAAAACAAAACAAACTAAAATGGCATAAGAAATGACACCATGTAGACTTAGCCAGGAAACCTTGAGATTTTTCATTTGTATAGAATGAAATGATGCAACAAAATGTGAGCAAGTGAATTCAATTTGCAACATTCAGTTTGTGCAAACCAGAATTAGCTACACTTGCTACTCTGTGGCAGCGGTTGCCAACCGGTGGGCCATGAGAAAATTTTGGTGGGCCGCAGAGAAATCTCACCCCAGAGCACACCCCCCCCAAGCAATTAATCCAGGCTGTGCAGAAACACAAGGCTGCTCAGCCCACATGGCCCGTGGGAACCCTCCCCACCCACTCCTTCCCAGGCAAACTTGTCTGCTAAGTTGCTATTTTTCCTTTTTCCGACCATCATCTGTTCTGCTCTGCCGGGAGATTTAGATTAGCTAGGAAGCAGGAAATGGTTGGACTTTTTTTGGTTGGAGTTTGCTTTCTAGCTAAGCACAGCCGAACCTCCCTTAGGACTGAAGGTTTGCATGCAAGCAAATTCAATGCAGGCTCACGGCAAGCAAATCTGAGAGACTGAGCTAGCCGATGGCAGATAGATAGATCACTGAATGATTCTGTGAGCAACTCAATTTGTCTGCTTTGCCTGATTTTGGATAAAAGTTGCTCTTTTTTTAAAATAAAAAAAAAATCAATATTTACATGCATGGTGTGTTGTGAGTTAATTTTGTGAGTTTGCTTGCAAGCAAATTTTATGTGACAGACTGAGCTAGCCAATGGCAGATAGATTTCTGAATGAATCTGTGATTCTGTGAGCAACTCAATCTGTCTGCCTGCTTTGCCTCATTTTGGGTAAAAGTTGCTCCTTTTTTTAAAATAAAAATTCAATATTTATATAAATACTTATAATATATACATACAATCCATGCCCAGCCAGTCACATGACCACCAAGCCACACCCACAAATTAGGCCATTCCCACAGAATCAGTTGGTCCCTAGGATCTAAAATTATGAGTTTGGTGGTCCCTGAGGTCCAAAAGGTTGGTGACCCCTGCTCTACGGAATAAATATCAATCTGCAGCCATACAATGTCAAGAAAAGGTAAGGCTGCTTTAACGTATTTTATACATGTACTACGTTCATAGGGGCGTGATTCAACCAGTATAACAGCCGGTTTTACGCATGCTCCACATTTACCTTCAACTGCAGTTGAAGAAAACAGCTGAGGCACGGCAAACTACTCTGCCTCTGCTGTGCTCTAACAAAAAGACATAAAGCACAGGGGCAGGTGGGCAGGCCCACATGCTCATCGGAGTGAACCAGTTCAGAGCCAGAGGACATCGGAACAAGGGGTTCACCCAGACAGGTCCGAACCAGCAGAATCCCACACCTGTTCATACTCTCATGTATCTCAAATCAATTTTTAAAGATTGAATCTAAACCACTGAAAGACCCTATGTTAATATTTATGTGTTCATTTATCAAGCACTGTTTGCCTAAAGAAGAAGAAAGATTTCTCCTCGTAAAAGAACATTTGGATAAAATTTGAGCAGAATTCAACACACTGTATAGTGATCATGCTTTGTTATGACAAGTATTATTAGACTGCAGGTATGCCTTTGTTTTCTTTTGGACCCCAAAGGGAAAAAAAGGTGCCAATTATTTGCATATCAGATCAAAGACACTGATGTCCTGATTTGAATGTTTGTTGATTTTGCCTTCCCTGAGATTTTATTGGCACCAGAATCTTTGAATCTGTGTTGCATTTTGATTCTACCCTTCCAGGAGGTCAGGAGCTCAAGGTAACACATGTTGTATTCCCCTTCTGGTTATTTTCACAATCCTGTAAGGCGGGGTCAGACTGTGTAGTAATCTCCTTGGGAGTTTCATGGTTCTGTAGAGACTCACCAGTCGTAATCTAGGACTCTGTTCCTTTACAAAATCTCGTTAACTTTGCAATGCAGTAAATCATTCAGAAAATGTGATGAATGATGCCAGTTCAAAGGAATATATTTGTTTATACATATTTTGCTATGTTTGATTCAAGATTTCCTCACACTATTGTTGGAATTTTATCCTTTTAGGGATAAAAATCAGATGCGGGATATAAAATAGAACAGGAAGAAATATATAGGGTACCACTGGTTTAAATTTCAGGTGAAGAGCAAATGATTTGATTCTCTTTGAAGTGAAGAAGGTAGCAGATATTCAGTTACTGTAGTTTCTATATCTGCATTTTCAGGTTGGCATGACAACAGGAAGAAATATGATGAAAGCCATAAAAGTGTTTGAGTTTGGTGGGCCTGAAGTGCTCAAACTGCAGCTAGATACGTTAGTGCCAGTTCCAAAAGAGAACCAGGTAAAATAAAGAATATGCAACCTTGGCTGCTTCTGCTACTGCTGCTACTACTAATGCTATTCTTTAAACATGAGGTCCTGCTCACATAATGCAAAATGAGCTTGAATAAAACTCGATGCATATAATTACATTTCGGAAAATAAAATGGTGAAAACAATTGCAGTTGCACCTTAATTGGAACCCAGGATTT